TGGACCGTTGGATAGACCGCAATTCGCTGAAGTCACAGTTTCTAAGAATCTGTGGACACTCTTCAGTAAGGATTTCCTGGGCAGTGTTCTAGAAATGAGCAACATCAGTGTCACCTGGGGGTCTTGTTTAACACTGCTCACCCCAGCGTCCTGATTCAGTAGGGCGGGGCCCCGAGGGTTGGCCTTCTAGCAGGCCAGGCGCTGCAGCCTCTGGCCAGCCTGTGTTCATTGAGTGTCACCGACTCAGGGAACCAAGGGGTTTCCCTGAATTTCACAGAACGGGGACTAGCACGAGGCCATGGACACCCCGAAGAATGTGGACACAGAGTTCTCTTAAAGCCGGCTGGTCTTCTCTTCCTCCAAGTCACTCTGATATTTTGTCTAAACAACGGGGGAGTCACAGATCAAGCATCACTAACACACAGCAGGCTGGTCTTGTGCCACCCGCAGCCCGGAATTGGCTCTATGTCCACTCAGCTTGGCCAGGGCCTTCTGCGGTCGGTCCTATTTCTAATCCCAACATAATGGGGAGGAAATGAAGACACGCGGCATTAAGTAGCCATTTTGAGGTCTCTTTGACTTAGGGATCCATGATACTTGGGCCAAGCCTGGCCTGTTGGGGTCCATAACAGATTTTAAGCATGGGACACTGGACAATATAAGTTCACTGGAGGAGCCCTCTTCTACCTTTTTTTTTTTTTTTTTAAGATTTATTTATTTACTCATACAGGACTGGGGTACAGGCCACAGGTGCAGGGGTAGTGAGAGGTTTCACCAGAGACAGAGTGGGGAGTAGAACGGGCTGACTGACGAAGCACACTGCTGAGGGGAGCAGCGGGCGGGTCAGGAGAGGTCTGTTGCGCCATGTGGTCACCTCCAGGGCAGGCAGGAATCGAACTCATGCGGAAGCAGCTTTAGCTTCTCAGTGCTGTGCTTTAACCTGCTGCGCCACCAGGGAGGGCCCCATTTTTTAACTACATGATCTGTCTGCATATCACACAATTTGTTTTGATTATCCCGTGATGGTGAGAGGTGACTTCAGAGCTTCCTTTCAAGCTCTGCGAGGGTGTCATCCTCTCTGAGTTTCTGCTGCTCTGGAGTGGCGGAACCAAGACTGGCGAGAAGCTGCTAGTCCCCGGGGCCAGCCTGAGCTGAGAGCTCCCACCTTGCTGGCTAGAAACTCTCCTGTTGTGGTCATCGCTGGACCACACGGTAGTGAGTTTTTCTGGTGATGAGCTGGGTTCTCATCTAGCTGCTTTGAGTGGGAGGAGATGAAGCAGAGCTGACAATTTTCTAATAGTCTAAGTAGGAAACACATTGGTTCCTGCCATGGCTGGGAGACTGACCGTGTCCTCCTGCCTGGACATTGGACATGGAGGTGACCTTAGCCAATAGCTAAGGGGCAGCTTAGCCAATAGCCCTCACCCTTGCTGGGAGGCCCAGATGCCTCCCACCCTCTGAAGCTGCCCCTGTAGACTCTGAGCGTGACACAGACAGGCCCCCCTGCCCAACCTCTCCTCACTCACCTTCATGGGTGACACTGGCGGTCAGACATGTCATCTACATCCTAGGGTTGTGTCTCCGACTCATGACAACTTGTTTTTTTGTTTCAAACAGTAATCGAATGATCCGTTCAGACCTCAGTGACTATCCCCAGAGTTATTAGAGTAGCTATTGCCCATCAAGCATCCGCTCGCTCGCTGGACTCCTGTTTCTGGGACAGGAGGACATGTGGGCTGGCGGAGTGGCGGTCCGAAGAGCTCAAGGACTCAGCCAGGTAGCCAGCGTGGTAGGGAGCGAAATATCGGCTCTAGGAACAGCGGACGTCACTTCCGCACCGCCTGGGAGTCGGGCTGTTTCCAGCCCATTTGGGGGGGGTAGGGGCACTGAGGTCGCAGAGGATGACAGGACAAAGGCGGCCAGAGCTGCTGGCCCCACGTCAGACGACAACCCAGGCCTGCTGGGGAGAGGACCGCGGGTCTCTCTTCGAGCAGCAGAGGCCTCACCGTGAGGCTTCCCCCCCTTTTCCTGCCGCAGTGGGGTTTAAGGTCGACGCGGCCTGCACTGTGGCCTTCCTGGGGCCAGGCCTTTGGCCTTAAGATTTTTCTCACTAGGAAAACTTGCACCGTGCCAACCACTGGCTTGACTGGCCCTTGAGGTCTGGCACGTCTGACTCAGGCTCCCGCTTAAAAACTCAGGTGCGCTGGGAGACCCAGATTCCAGAGCTGGAGCCTGGGAAGATTCCCACGGGCCCCTTGAGCTGCCTTCTGTGTCCACTGGCCCCTGGGAGAGAGTTCTGGCCCCTTCTCCACCTGGCAGCTTCCTTCTTTACAAGCTGACGTTGCTGGTGGCTTCCCCCAATCTTAAATGCTCAGGGAGCTGTCTTCAGATGGAAGAGCAGAATGTGGTAAAGAATCCAGGGGAAGGAAGGAAGTGGCAGGAGAGGGCCTGAGGGGGGGAGAAGAAAGGGACAAAGGAAGAGAGAAAGGAGAGGGCGGGGCAGGAGGGGGAGAAGGACCCTGAGCTCCTTGCCCCAGTGCCGCCTGTTCCCTGACCTTCGTAGGTGCTCAGTGTGGCTGTGCCCAGAACATAACCCCTTCAGCTCAGGGGTCCTGACTCCTCCACCCTGGGGTCCTAGTGGGTCCTTAAGGAGGGTCCTATGGGTGAAGGCTGCTGCTTCTGACGGGCGTGATGGGGAGAGGAGGAGTTCTGAGTGCACAGGAGGCCCGGCCGGCCGCAGAAGCTGCCTACCAGCCTGCAGCCCCTCAGCTGCATCGTCTGCGTGCCGGTTTGATGGCATTAAGTTCTCTGGCCATTGTTTAGGAGCAAACGCCTCTGGGTCAGCAGTTAGCACCAGTAATTAGCATTACTGCGAATTAGGGTAATGATGGCAAGGGTGGGGGCTGGTGAGGGTTAGGCGTGGACTCGGGCTTCCCCTGGTGGCCTCCACGTGTATCCCTGGGAAGGTTCTCCCAGGTGGACACACTGACCCTCTTTGGTGGCCTCTTTGCACAGAGATCCGTGCAGAGGTCACTGCTCTGTACCTTTGCCACTGCAAAGCAACAAGAGGAGCCTCTGTTCATTCCAGCGGGTCTTGAAAGGGTGGGGGATGCACATTTTGAACACCCACCTCCTGCTAATCCTCCTGCGGAACCAGTCTGGCTGGTTGCAATGTGTTGTTCTTGTTGTTCGAAAGCCCACACTACAGTCCCTGCAACAACAGAGCTGCTTGTTGCAGGTTTCAACCTATAGGAGGAGGGGTGGGGGTGGGGGGCAGAGAGCCCGGGAAGGCCCAGGCGAAGAGCTGGGGGTTTCTGAGCCAGGCCCAGCACGTCTAAATGCTGCTCTGTTTCTTAAAGGCGGTGTGACCTTGGGCATATGACTTAACTCTCAGAGATGATACGAGGATGACAAGAGGCTGTTGTAAGACACCTAGCCCAGGGCGTGACGATAGAAGGTGCTGGAAAAACGCTAGTTCCTCTGACATAGGTGCTTCTTGGGACATGCGTACAGGGCAAAAGAAGTCCCAACATGGCCCTCCCTGGTGCTCAGCGGGTTGGAGCACAGCACTAAGAAGCTAAAGCCTTTGCAGCATGAGTTTGATCCCTGCCTGCCCCGGAGGTGACCACATGGCTCAACCCGCCCGCTGCTCCCCTCAGCAGTGGACTTCGTCGCTCTGCCTGTTCTGCTCCCCACTCTGTCTCTGGTGAAGCCTCTCACCG